TACTTTTCCTTTGTTTAAGGGTATTTGGGCAGTTTATTCTCTGTTATATTCTCAAGTAAACAATACATACAAGTACAGTACAGTATTTTCTGAGGAAACACTCGTACTTATTTTTTTTAACCCCATTCCCGTTAACCCGGCATTTTCACAAACTCGGCCACCCTTCGGTCCACATTAGGCCGAGTTTTCGAGGTTCTACTGTATAAAAAATAAACATGGCGATTATATACAATAAAGATTATTTAAAACAATATCAAATTTATGATAATGTATTAATATATATTTTATTTCTTTAACATATCTTTATATTTCAAGAGAAAATAACAAAAATCAGGTGACCCGATTTCTCTTTACCCGCAAATACAATAACCCCGTAAAATATTAATCAATAAGGTCATTTCACTAAAAAGTGAAATAAAATTTTTATCTCTTATAAAAATTAATTTTTCTGACGTACGAAATTTGTTTTTGATCTTTAACAAAGTACACTATTGTACTTTGTTTAGAACTCAAAGTTTCTTAATATCTATTTTAAAAATTTTTTTATATTCTCTTTTTATATATTTATGTGATGATGTAAAACTAGGCCATGGCACTATATGCCATGACACTTCCTTGACCAATATTGTTTTAAGAGTTTTAAGTATTTTGTATTAAGATTTCATTCTCATTTTTAGAATAATATAAACAAATCAAAATTATAAATTAACGTAAAGATAAGTTTACTGTAGGACAAGTATACAGTATCAGAGAAATTAAATTTATATCTTGATCTTTTCTATAATAATTACAGAGAACACAATTGATTTGCAGTTAACTATCAATATATCATTTTAAACGAACGGAAGAACATTTTGATTTATTAAAATTGCTTATGAAAGCTTAGATATATAAATGATTATCACTTATTGTTTATGATAATATGAAAAAAAAAAATGTATTTTTACTACTTTATAGCACGTACAGTATATAGAATCCATATATTATTTCGTAACGTCTACACTGTTATTTGCTTTTTAACAATACAGGAAAAATATTTTGATATAAGGAAAAAAGAACTACGAAAAATTTTCACCCTTGGTTGATATTTTATTTTCACTTTTCAATTTATTTTTATTGAAATATAAATAAAATAATTGTTTTTTTTAAATATTTACTCCATTTTAAAATTATGAAATATCTATTTCTAGCAATTAATTAGTAAGAGATGTGCCTGAATTAATCGTATAATATTCAGTAAAGTTATATACACTTTTAATTATCCTATTATCCTTCGATTATTTTTTTACGGTTTTTAAGTGTTGTACCAATGATAAGATTTTTGAGAAAAATAACATTAGTTTAAATTTTTCTATGAATCAGTAACCAGTTTCGTATATGAAAATAATTTGTATTATCGAAATCATTCTTTTCCCGTTTATTCTATTTTATTTATGGCAAGTATTGTATATTGATCATTAGTATCGTCTACGTGTATATGTTTGTAGACTAATATATAGAAATTATATTTAAATTAATAAAATCATATTGAAAATTCGTGTTTGTAGGTTAAGTTTTGCTNTGCTATAATTTAGAAAATTTAAATTAATAGACTTGTATTCCGAATTGAAATAACGTGTGATCTAAATACTATATATCGATTCTACAAAACCTATCTTTATTTGAAATTTAGCATCTATGGCCGTCCATAAACTTTGTTTAAAAACAGTGTCTTTATACATGTCAGTTTTTTTGTCATAAAGACACTGATATGGTCGAAAGGATCCAATCTATTTCATTTATTTTTCGTTTCTTGGAGACCGTCACAATTGTAGGGCCAACCTACGTACATTGCCGCCATTATTAGAATAAAAATCATCTGTTTACTTTCACGTCACAAAAAGACTTCTCTTTATTGGAGGAATTTTGGCATAAAAATTTTGCGCGCGTAAAAATAAGACATATGCTCTACTCTTTTTTCAGTTATGTTTCAGTTAAAACTTCAGAAAATTTTTTACGCTTTCTGTTTTATGCTAGCTTTTACGCCGAATTTTACGCATGTGTGTTCCTGGCCTTATGTTCTATGACATCATATTTACAAAAATATAAGCATTTAAATATTCTAACTGTTTTTCTAAGTCATACATATGCAAAATAATAATAATAAAGAAATAAAAACTTTATATATACTGTAGAAAAGTTTATTTTCCTTGTATCATAAAGTTGCTAAGTGAGATTAATTTTATTCGATGAATAATATTTTTAATTTTATTTAATTAATGTTAAATAACACGTTAATATTCATAAAATAAGAATTTCTTTCCGTAGGCTATACTTATTAATTGTACAAAATTCAGTTCTCAATAGCAATGAAACTTGTAAGATGTAAAGAAGTTAATGATTTTCCTTATAAAATTGATAAATTGGGACTCGTCATTCATACGTTTGATTAGCTTATTTAAGAGTGTATTGTGTGGTTGAAGCAAAAAAAAAAAAATCATGATAAGAATCCTTAATAGACGTATATAAGAAGTTATAGTCACATCGTGAATAATAAAAGCTGCAGTAGGTCTATTCATATTTAACTACTTACACTTCTAATACGTGATGCTACTATGTTTTGATTATATATTGTATATTTTCTATGAGAATGTGTTTCATCGAGTGTTTTAATGAGGGAATGATAACTATTATAATAATGTTATACTGATTTATTTACTCAATAACGAAATATTCGAGTAGAAGCAAGTTTCTTAGAGGAAAACAATATTATATATTAGAAAAGAAAATCAAGTATATTATTAGATATTATATGATTCTGATTATTTCAAAAAGTAAAATATTTGATGAGATGCAAGATTTCAACATTTAACCTTCGATGATCTGCAGAATACCACAGAATCCGAATTAGTTAGTAACTACAGCGGTTAGGGGACGTTCCTAAATACAGTGAATTTAGTTTGCTTACGTTTTCCTGTTGACGACACAATTTCTCATTTTAAGGAACGATTTGTTAGTGCATACCAAAAGGGAGGATTTACTATTTAGTAACGTCTTCTAGTTACTTAAAATTTACGGATAATGACCACTTCGGATTTAATCTTGGGGAGGGAGCCAGTGTTTTTTTAATGCGAATTCAATAAAATTCGCACATACGTTGACTCTAATTCATAAGTAATATAGAAATATAAGACACGATATAATATAAATAAAAAATTAAATTTTAATTGAAAAAATATTTTTAGAAAATTTACTAGTGTTTCTTTTCCTTTTACTTTTGGGGTGCCAGGGCCCCTTGTTACCCCTCTGAGTGCGCCACTGTTAACTCCTATATTTTTATTTGACAGTAACTTCACCGAAGAAAAGTGTATTTGTGATTTTAAGTTGGTCTGGCGAAACGTAATGGAAATTTTAATTAAAAGGAAAGAAAACAAAGCAAAATTCATAATTATGTTAAAAATATAACACCCTTAGATTCTAAATCAGATTTTTTGAGTTAATCGCAGTACTATAGAGATAAATTACAACATAATGTGCTCAACAATTATTATCTTATCACAACACACCTTTCTTGTTACACAAGAAAGGTGTGTTGTGATAAGATAAGATAAATTACAATCTAAAATTGCGTACTTTAAATAGGCCTATCTCAATTTTAAAGTTAAAGAGAATTAAGATATTAACCTTTATTTACATTATTTAGTTTATGTATAGTATACCATCATTCGAAGATCTTTCAATTGTTAACTATGAAATGGGTAGAAGTTAATGTTAGGTTATTTCTCTACATACGGTATGGAATATTTTGGTTAAGAGCAGAGAGACTTTAACTTGCCCGAAATGTTACAGAACAAGTACCAATTTTTAATTTTCCATCACTAATAATTTTCTGCTATCTCTGTATGATGTTTTTGTCTTGTCTCATTCGAATTTTCTCCACTGTTTTGACTGAATTTGGGAGGCAGTTGTCCTCCTGTTCTTCCGACTCGGACACCCATGTTTTTCTCTGTACGTATTTACATTTACAGTTACAAAATATCTAAAGGGCACTTCTATTATAAAATATTCTTAATATATTTGTTAATTGATTAGTTTTAAATAGCTGTCTTGGGTAGTCTATACATTGGACAAATGAAAGTAATTGGCTTTTCTTAATTAAACACTATTAGATTTTTGTGGAATTTAAAAATACAAAAATTTAAATTGAGACCAATCACTGAACGAGCTTATGACATGTGCCACTCTCAACCCATTCGTGTTGTTACTCACACAACTCGAGACTAGGTACCCTGGTTGAAGAGCAGTGCATAATTTTGCCTAGAGCACTTTTATTCATTAAAGGCGGTTCCTTTAGTGAGTAAAAGTGGTTTCACATCACCAGAAACAGAAAACAGAAACGGAAAACTAATGTCATTTTCTACTTCCATTACCAAAATTCGATGGAAACAGATTAGAAAATACTTCAACTTTTCCGTTTTCCTTGGATCTTCCGTTATGCTTCGATCGATAGAAAAACACATGAGCTAACATCAGACTATTCAAAAAGAACGAAACAAAGCGAAGAATTAGATCGTCTGTAGAAAAGGTCCGGAAGTATTCTTTTCTCTATAATGAAATAGACAAAACATATAAGATTGTTATCGATCATAATAGGAGATTACGTGCTACAATCGAGATATTATGATGTGATGGAAGTAAAACTAAAACAAATAATGAAAGAAAATGGAATCTGATCATATGGAAACAAGACTTAAGAGGCGCTGCAGTACGGATCAGGTGAAAAACAGGCGGAGATTATATTAAAAAAGTATTAAAAAACTGGATGGTCGGGATATGGTAACATGCGGGCAATCTACCAAGAGGGACTTTCTATTCGAACTGTTCCCTATTTAAGTATTAGCAAATACGGTTCGTTACATACATGAAGAAAATCAGGAAAACTTCTATGGATCAAGCGGAAACCCACGATCAAACTACCATTACTCGTTGATTTTATCACTTCGGCCATTGGTGGACATAAATAAAACGAATATGTACTTAACTTCTAAATTCTATTCAATTCTAAATTTTTATATAAAATAGTTTATAAACTTTTCGTCATTTTTCGTTTCAAGTTTCTTTCGGAGACATTTTAACATTTAATACGAACTAATTTGATTGTATACGGTAATAAATATCTACATTTATACATTATTATAACACTACATTAAAAAACAAAACTCAAAAACAGTTTATCACCTCTCTGACTCACTCCACAACACCAAAACTCTATAAATAAGTTAATTACTTTTCATTGTTGAAAACTATTTTGCTGTTTATTTGGAGTACAAAATTCTGAAAAACATTAGGTGATTGAGGTAAAACCTGGGCATTCAAGTGTTTAACGATCAATTTAAATCGTCTATACATTCAGCATGCACATTCTTGCAATAAATCAGTTCAATTTTCATTTTAAATAGTGTAAATTTGGCCACAAAGCTTGTTTTCTTAGTATATGGGAAATAAGTATGAAAGCAGATCGGCCAGCAATTTGGTCAGGTTAATTGTTATGCAATTAACCTGACCAAATGTACATTTAAACCTGATTACCTTTCTGTTAAAAGAACTAATTAACTGAAATGTTTATAAAGCAAGACAATTTTTAATCACTTAAACTCATTTGATATACAATACAACCAAATAAGAGCAATGTTTGTCCTAGGTAAGTTGCATTTAATTTGAAAGAAAATAAATTGATGTATAAAGAGAATTAATATCATCGATTAATTTATTCCAACAATTGCTTAAATACAGGGAAAATTTGTAAGTTACGATAAAATCGCGGATTGACTTGTTCTATAAGATTTTTTAATTTTGAAGTTAACTTATAAACAGTTCTTGAATACGAAATTTTTTTTGTATCCGTCTGTCTTTTCGGCGCGGCTTTCATGATTCTATACACTGTCTGTTAAACCAAGCTAGGCTGACGGCCGGATGATCTAGCAGTTAAGGTGGCAGCCTACCGCTCTGGGTCAAAAAAAATCCCCACAAATTTTTCGGGAAGTGGCTCCACCCGACCGCCCTATTGTGAGCCTGGCCGAAGCCATAATGGGCTTGCTAAAAAGAGGCCCTCTTAGTTCCCACAGGGCGGAAAGAGGATAAAAACACCAAACTAGGCCAGGTTTGCATGAAAGTGTATGGCCAGGTCAATCTGAATCCACTCAATCAATTAAAAACTCAATTCTCGTAAATCTTTTTAGAATTTGAGTTGATGTTTATTCTTATGAAGCATCAAGTAACCCAAATTACATAATAGCAGTCCTTATTGCACTCCCCATGAATGGTTTTCCAGACTTAATGCGAATTGTTTTTATGCAATTTACTGACGGTCATCAAATAAAATGCTATCAGTAGAACTTCATGGATTAAACCTTTAGGCTAGATCAGTGACTCACAAATTTTTCGAACCATGGCCTCCTTTTATACCCAACGTTTCCAACAGTATTTCATGCCCCTAACCCATTTTCGTATGAGAAAGGCTTGAAAATATTCCTAGAAAAACTTTTCTATGAACCTCACACTTTTTGTCCTTACCGTACATTGTTCTCCACACGTTCCTTGTTTGCAAACAAATGAAAATTAATCAAAGGTTAGTGATATTAAGAATATATAGACAATATTTCGGTTAATGACATAATATTAATAGAAATAAACAGTATAAGTTTTTGAGTTTTACAGGAGTTGTTACATGCTGACATTTGTCAGTTAAGTAAGCAGTTTAGTTTAATTTATTTTACACTTTAATAATTCTTAGAGTGTGACTGGATGTTTCGCTTTCGGCTGTACAAATCGTAGCGAGAAAGGATTTTTGATGAAAGTTTTTCCGAAAGATCCTGCACGTGGTAAACTTTGGGAAACAAAAGTGAAAAGAGAACTAGAAATTTGAAGCATAATCTGTCCCTCCATATTTTCTTATACACCATCAATTAATCTAGAAAGGCTCAACCAGTAAAGAAACCCACTTCTTTCAAAAGTCTGTAAAATTTCAAAAGATGATGCAAGTTCTGTTGAACGAGCATCAAGTTATGAACCAGCAACAGATAATTTTCAACATAATTCTTCAATATTCAATGAAGATTTCAGTTCTGAGAAATGTAAAGAGAAAGATAAAATAATCGATAAGTTAAAAAGAATAATATTGAAAAAGGATAAAATAATTTCTAAATTACACTTTAAATTAATCAATCTTAATAAAAGATTAGTTGGGAATAGAATACAAACATTTAAAGATTGCCAAAATGACAAGAAAGTTAAGACTGCTGTACAAAACGTATTTAAAGAGAATCAACTAGAATGCATTCATCGAAAATCAATGTGTTTAAAAAAAATGGTCAAATGAAACAATATGTACAGCAATAGGATTGAGATTTAGCTGTGGTTCAAAAGGTTACGACAGCTTACTCAAATGCAATCTGCCTTATTCATCTTTAAGAACCTTACGTAGACGACTGGAAAACTTAAAATTTCAAAGTTGAATAGTGCACAAAATACTTGATTTTTTAATAAAAAAGTTGATGGATGATATGGAAATAGATAAAAGAAAGCAATGTGTTTTAATTTTGGATGAAACATCACTAACTCCAAGCACACTGATTATGACACAAGTACTAATACATATTATGGAGTGGTAACATTACAAAATCTTACAGGCTTGGCTACTCATTCACTAGTCTTTAGGTTAAGTGGTATATTTACAAAGTGGAAACAGACTGTTACATACTTTTATACTAGCAACTCAACAAATGGTTCTGTTTTAAAAAATATTGCTCTTGATATAATTAAATATAGTGAAGATGTGGTTTTAACTATCAATGCTATAACATCTGATATGGATCTATAAATCAGGCAATGTGGAAAGCCTTTGGCATTTTTTAGTGGAAAAGTGAAAAACAGTAAATGTGTATATTATATCCCACATCCTTATCGTTCTGAAGAAACAATTGAGTTTATTGCTGATCCAGTGCATCTTTTTAAAAATACTGTATTTATTTTTGTAATGATATAATTATAGCGATTTTGAAGTTTGTAAAATAAAATCAAATTTTAAATAAGTGCTACCGGTAGATTATTTCCGTTTTCTCAATTAAGTATGTGGCTGCGGCTAAATAAGCAGTTTGGAAAAGACATGGCGGCAGCTATCCGTATGACCACTCTCTCGTTATCGGTACCCTGCCTCCAGCGCTCTTTTCCGCCCACTTGTTTTCAATCCCTAGATTTACTCATCGCCCACTGGTAAACACCGTGTGAGGCCCGTTACCAACCCTTTACAAATTTAGAAATCAAGCATAAAAAGAAGAGTATTAATCGTCTTCGTAATTTTGTCTTTTTGTAGAGGCCCCTTGGAACTCGAGGCCCTAACTTACAGCTTACATAGCTTACATGTAAATCCGTCCCTGGGTAAGGCCTAGTTATTTGGTACAAAAGTTTATCATTCTCTAGCGTGATTTGAATAATTAAATGGGGATTTTTTTCCTCTAGTCCGGAGAAAACTTAGGGCTTATATGGGTCTACGGCTCCTATCCTTATAAATTAATGTTATTTTTACTAACAAAATAAATCTTTAAAACTGCTTTTTATTAATAAAGAAACATTATACACATTTTATTTGTTTAAAAAAAATGGCAAAAGGGGCCTCATAGAAGTTCTCGGTGGCCCTGTAATTTGCGTATTCCAATATTTATAAAATACTTACCATTTATCAGGTTATGTTAACATAGGAAATTAACCTAAAGCTATGTGATTGGTCAAATACTCCCCTCGCATATTTTCACCGCAATGGTAAAGTTAAGACGACCTTGACGCGAATAGGCAGGTGGTGTTCTTTTCGTCGTGGAATGACGTCAAATTCGCTCTGTTGACGTCATAGGAACATTCTCCGAATTAGGAACTGACCTTTACCTTGAATACCTTTAAATTAATAATGGTATTCTACAAATATCTATAATATACTAGATGAATTTAGGATCAAGTATTAATAATATTGATTTTTACTTGATATTAAATCAAAAATATATCGAAGAAAAGATGATAAAGTAATACAGTTAATGAATTTGTTGTCTTATTAGAACAGCATTACGACCAAGTAATAAGTGATAATTTTTTATTACAATTTCGCAAGAAGTTTTCCTTGCTATTGTTTATATTTGATTTGTTTCTTGGAATTATTAATAATAGTTAATTAAATATAATTTAATAATATATTTATCTATAAATTTAAATATTTTTTATTAATTGGTATACATATTGTTTTACTACTACAACCGAGAAGATATAAATTACATTTAAAAATCACTTTCTATTATATCTTCGAGTGCAAAAGTATGTTAGATAATGCAATTTTAATGTAAGCAGGAAAATGTTTTAACAGAGAAAATTTAATTAATTATCATGACTCACGATTCATTTCTTCCNTTGTAATAAAATAATAAATGTACACGTATTAAATTTTCAATTATTTATTTAGAAATAATATAGGACGAACATACCAACTAAATCATACCACTATAGTGATTAAAAACAAGAATTGAGAAATGTGACCTTAAAATAATTCTAGAAACTTTTTCAAGTTGCAAAACAATCATTGTTGGCAAAGAAGCCAAGAATATTTAATACTAATTTCCATAAATTACAGCTGTTGATATCACTTACATTATAAACACGTCAAAACTCCACTTAATTATTAGCAATGAAAAGTTATATAAAGGCAAAATTTTCCAGATATGGGTGGGTAAATGGATGGATAAGCAAAATATTGTTACAATACTTCAAGTCAACTAATATTGTTGTTTAAATAGGTAGGAAATTAAGCTACAGATAGTTTTTTTTTATGCCAAATGACAACAATGTTTTCCGTGTTGTGTATTATTTCATAATACCATTAAAGTTGATCGAGTATATGCGTTAATTTTGGAGGTGGGTATGTAATAAAGTGTTATAGGAGGTTGAATAGTAATTGAAAAGTATAAAAATAGCATTATATACTTTAAGGAACGATGCTGTGTTATTAAACTATTAAATATTATTAATTAAGAATCTTTAAAAAAATTCTGTACAAAACTACTATGTTTTTTATTATACTAAGTCAAAATTATTTGAAAAAATTTAATTCCCTTTACCTACTTATGTAGTGATTTATATAAAAATGTAGGATATCAGCTTATTAATCTGCTGATTATTCTTAAATAAAATAAATTCTTAAAAGATTTCCTGATTAAAAAATATTCTTAGCATAAATGTTTTTTCTTTTAAATTATTTATTTTGAATTTCTTCGTGTGTCTAACACCTAAATATGGGCCAGTATTTCAGAAAAAGTCCCTTGGAAGATTGTCCATTTGTTGTGTTGCCTTACCGTATCAAACTAACTAAATTCTCGTTCCTCATCACCATTGTGAGCATGGCCGAATCCACCGAAAGCAAAACCTTGATTATTTAAATCATATAACCTTCACATTTTCTAGATATAGATACAGTATAGATATTTCTATGCTTATTCCTTTTTATGTACAGTAAAGTATATATAACAAAAAATGTCACATCTAGCCAATCAAAATTAGAGTTTCATCTACTACACGTGATCTATATTCTGCCAATTATATATGTCTAACATCGTACTGTCGCAAATCGGAAGTGCCGACATGCTTTGTCGTTAGTTACATATTTATTAGATACTTTCTTAATTACTTTCGTGTTTATTGTCGTTTGAGATGAAAATGATTATTGTTCCGATTATATTACACATGACGTATTTTACGTTATATTTATCGGACGTTATAACTAGGCTTATAAACATCCGTAGCAAAAAACAATATGGCCTACAAACACCAATTCGTTCTTATGTGGGCCTATCTAACAATGACGTTAATAAAGGATTAAATATGATTGGTTTCTCAATTTTTATAAAATAAACTTCTAACGTGAAACCTTTCTTATGCATAAAGTTATAACGGACGTTTTTATAACGTAAAATACATCGTAGGCAAACACTATAATAATAATGGCAGCGCTCCCTTATCGTTACAGCGTGGTTCTATTAATATTTTACCTTCTATAATTTAGTTAATTTTTTTATTTTTTAAATTTTTACATTCTATAATATTTTCTCTAAATATCCATCGTTCTCATAGCCAATCAATGCAATTAATTTTAAATTATTCTTTGTTTTATAAACATAGAGGTTGTATATTAGATAACGCAGGTATGGTAAGTGTGTATGCAGATAATCGTTTTAGGGAATAGGGGTGTATATAGGATAATAGAATGATTCATTTTCTTTGTTACCGAAGAGTTGCATGACAAACCATACTGTTTAATTCACTACTTTGTACTGTACGTAATTAATACAATAGCGTAACATTCAGTACTCTGTGCTGTGTATTATATCTTAGAACAGATAGTTTATATATTATCTTATATAATTAAATTTATTATATATTGTATAAAATTCTCCTGATATATTACTATATTGTTATCCATTGTATATAGACCAGTATATAAACAAAGGCTGATATTTAAATAAATTAAACACTAATTAATTTTAATTATTAAATACTGATTATAATTAATTTTATTAGAAGCCGAATTCATTTAACTTCAATGTATAAACGCTTAATATATTTAAAAATTCCATATATTAAGTGTATTTAGATTATCAATTAAGTTTTTATAACTTAATTATATTCATTAAAGTTGTAATTTATGACTTTTCAAAGACTTAAATATATATTTAACTACTTAAGACTGCCTTTTATTTCGTCTTAAAATTAGATTGAGAGTGTAAATGATAATTTACTTATGGACGTATTCACAAGCAAAAGTTAACCAATTACCCCATTCACTATACAT